TAAAACTTTATATTTTGAAACAAAAGGAGTATGTCATGTAATGGTCTTCCAAAAACCATTCTTTTTTTTTTTTTTAGTTTCCCGCCCGGTATCCGAGGCTTCGTCCCGACTAATCCGGACCCGACCCGCATCGCGCACCTGGAAATGGTGGGTGAGTCTCCCAGCGGGGGCTGCTGCATACACAAGGACTCGAATTCGAGACCTTACTTAAGCTGGAACAAGCCGCTTACCACTTGATCCAACCCCTCGTTGGTCTTCCAAAAACCATTCTTCACGAACTAAAAATATTGCTTCAGATAGATTGTGTAACTCATTCATTTGAGTTTTATTTTAATGAATAGATTTCCGTGGCCAAAAAAATTAAGGTTGCTCCAAGATATGACAGTTATTTCCCAAGATCCCCATCTCCACGTTGCATGATAGCAGCGTAAGACCTTTAAAACTCGCATTTTGGGGCAAAGACGTGATTCCCAAGTCTTCACGTTGCACAACAGTAGCACAAGACCTGTAGCTCCAAGATTTGACAGTTGTTTCCCAAGATTCCCATCTCCACGTTGCATCATAGTTAGCAGCCCAAGACCTTTAAAACTTGTATTTTGGGGCAAAGACGTGATTCCCTAGTATTCACGTTGCACAACAGTAGCACAAGACCTGTGGCTCGAAGTCGAAGATATGACAGTTATTTCCCAAGATCCCCATCTCCACGTTGCATAATAGCAGCACAAGGCCTTTAAAACTTGTATTTTGGGGCAAAGACGTGATTCCCTAGTCTTCACGTTGCACAACAGTAGCACAAGACCTGTAGCTCCAAGATTTGACAGTTATTTCCCAAGATCCCCATCTCCACGTTGCATCATAGTTAGCAGCACAAGACCTTTAAAACTTGTATTTTGGGGCAAAGACGTGATTCCCTAGTCTTCACGTTGCACAACAGTAGCACAAAGAACTGTAAAACCAACGAGGGGTTGGATCAAGTGGTAAGCGACTTGTTCCAGCTTAAGCAAGGTCTCGAGTTTAAGTTCTTGTGTATGTAGCAGCCCCCGCTGGGAGACTCACCCACCATTTCCAGGTGCGCGACGTGGGTCGGGTCCGGATTAGTAGGGCGAAGCCTCGGATATCGGGCGGAAACCAAAAAAACAAAGAACTGTAAAAGCTAGAGTACTATGGTGGGGCAAAAGATTTGTGAAAGGGAGAAATAAAATTAAACAACCCAGAGCGCTTGGCACTAATTAATTAAGTTGACTTAATACCAAAAAGGCTTCCGAGTCTTGGAAAAATAACTCGACCCATCATGATTTCAAAAAGTAAAAAGAGGATAGTTGTTTACTCGGATCTTTTTTCTTTAGAGTAATTTAAGAGATAATCGTTTTACTTAATACCTATTCGTGGTATCATATCTAAAAATTTTTAAATTAAATGATAAATATAGATTATAGTGATCTATGTATGAAAATATTCACGGTTAATAAAAATAGGTAGCATTAATTTCTCACTACTCATATTTTCTATTTATTTTAACTGAAATT